TTGAGAAGAGGATGAACTGTCAAATAATTGGAGAAACATGCCTTTGCTGGTAGATCAGCAAGTATAAAAGCAGTAAGGTCAAGCATGCGTTGTGGACTTTGTGAGCTGTCCATATTATTCTTTTCAAGCCATTGGAAGTACCTGCAAACATAGTTATAGATAGATAGTTCTAGATAAATAACTATTGGTATAGATATCAAGTCCCAGATTGGATTTCAAAGCTGGAGTATTATCATAGTTTGGTTGAATGGGAAACTAGTTTCTTGTAGCCAAGCTATAGTGGAGTTAAAAATAGTCTTTGGTTATTTTGAATGTAAGACTTGAAAGTGAGATTCTGAAGGCTAAATAGAGATGGGGGCAAAGTTCGTAACTGAACACTAAATGCTCAGTTCCGAGGATGACACAGTGTCACCGTTCCAGTCTCTTGCAGTTGTGTGTGTGTGTGTGTGTGTGTGTGTGTGTGTTTGGAAAGAAGCAATGGAGATAAAACACGAAAGTCATAGGGAGCGTGCTGAGTGAGAGGTCACCCAGGGGCTCATTCTCTTCCAAGAATCTTTGCTGGGCCTTGAATTCATTTTTACAGACAAACTCAACTCCTCCCTTGTCATATATTCCTGAATCATCCATATAAGGAAGGACCTTTTTTCCTTCCCCAATAAACAGTCCATATTTAGTTATTGGATTCTGTTTCAGCTGGAAACATGAGCATAACTTTTGCTTTTTAGTAATTATTCACTGTGTCATTAAGACTTATCTCAGAATTACAGGGTTGTGGAATCAGAGAGTGATGGTGCCGAACCATTAATTATTTGGATGCATTCTTAGCAAGACTGACTACTTCACATCTTGTTCTTTTGGTGGAATGTCTGTGTTGATATGTGGTGTTTTGACCAAGTACAGATATCCCGACTGTCCAAGGGGTGGAATGGTGGCTTGACCCTACCTGGCCCACCCAAGCTGAGACACTGTAGGTTCCTGCAACCCCCCAGGGGTTGCTGCTCCCTTGCAGTGGTCCAGTTTTGCCGCTAGGCGGCACTGTTTATCTTTTTGGCTTTTACCCAAAGGCCCTCTGCCTCCTTTGGAGGGGACTTGGGGGAGAAATTCCAAAGATGTGCCATCATGTTCTCAACCGACTCAAACCCTTTACAGCTTCATTTTTAAATAAACAGTAAGTGTCAGAGGTTTTTATGTAAAATAAACTATCACATTCTACATATGATGGCAATACTCTAAAGAAATCTCTAAAGAAACTGCCTGGATTACACTGAGACTTCCAAAGACTTCAGTGTTCTGCTCAGCTTTAGTTTGTGCAGCTTCCTGATTGCATCCCCACCGCCCTGACTCTGAGCTCTTCAGGCCGTAGGGACAAAACCGATTGCTGAGCCTCTCGGGGTTCATCTGTGGATGGCCTTGCTCAGGAGAGAGGAATGATGACTCTCTTCTCTAGCAAAACCTTGGGGGCTCCCTCCTCCCCCTCATCTTGTGCTGCTTGGGTTGCAGACATCCAAACGTTGCCTCTGGCTAACTCAGACTGAAAGGGGGATTTATTGGCGAGATCTCAGGTAGTTTGGAGTTAGCCAGAAGCAGAGAATCACCCTCAGAACAGGGGCAGAAATTCAGAGGCTGAACTGGTGGACTCAGAGCCAACCAAGGCCCTAGAATAGTCTGGATGGGGTGCCGTTGCTGTTGCAGCTACTGCCGGGGACAGGACGCCAGGCGCCATCCGTGGTACAACTGCCACTGCTGCAGTTTTTATTTTAATCCACCCCCTGCTTCGTGTCACCTGCTGCCTGTGTAAACAGTCAAGTGAGAGCACAGCGGAATCTACTACCCCCAAAGTCTCTGTGTGCGGAGCTGGTGACTACCTAGACATTGCCATCACCGCCTACTACTGTCATACAAGTTCCTAAGCTACTGGAATTGTGTCCTACCACCCTGGGCCCATTCTCTTTCCGTCTTGTTGCAATCCAGCCACTAAACTGTAAACACTTGGCCTGGGGAGGGCCCTCCTCCAGGGGCCCCCCTCCCTCCCTCCCTCCCTCCCTCGAGGGCGCTATACCTGGCATCTACTCTGGTTGGTGGATGTTTGGGGCCAAGTGATGGTGAGTATTTGGGATTCTGTCCCTGCCCATATGTACTTTAGACCACTTTTTAAATAAGGGTAGGGCTGACATCTAGAAGCTACTAGTATCTGTACTGAGAAATAGAAAAAGTGCAAAGGGTGACCCACATATAATAGATGGTCAAGACTCAACATGTATGAGTTGAGGCATCCTTTTTATTTGCTTTATAAGACATTTCCATTAATTTCTTCTCCAGCCTAAGAATGCTATTGTGCTATGTACTTAAAAAAAAAAATTGAACTAATAGTTGATTTATAATGTTGTTAGTTTCAGGTGTGCAGCAGAATGATTCAGTTTTATATGTATATTGTGTGTATTTATAGTTCCCTGCATTATACAGTAGATTCCTATTGTTTATTTCATATATAACAGTATGTATCTGTTAGTCACAAACTAATTTATTCTCCCCTCCCCATTCTCCCCTTTGGTAACCGTAAGTTTGTTTTCTATGTCTGTGAGTCTATTTCTGTTTTGTAAATAAGTTCATTTGTATCATTTTTTAGATGCCACATAAAATTAATATCATATGATATTTGTCAGATTTACTTCGCTCAGTAGGATGGTAAGTCCTTCTGTGTTGCTGCAAATGGCATTATTTCATTCTTTTTATAGCTGAGTAGTATTCCATTTATGTATTTATTTTTAAAATTAAAACAAACTGTACAGAGGGAGTTGATAAATGAATTATGGCATGTTACAGCCATTAAAATGATGAGTATGACTGTAAAAATCCAGAAAACTGTTCATGAAATATTTGAGAACGAACTGGAACACAAAGCTGTCCAGACATTGTTTACAACTATGTTAATACTGTTTATGCAGATAAAGGTTAGAAAGGATTGTAAAAGAAAAATACTCTCTATTAAGATAACTGCATGGTTGAAACAAAAATATTTCTTCAGTTGTGCTTTAAAAGTTAAATAAAACCTTAGCATAATTATTACAAGTATTTAAAAAGTAAAGCATTTGGATGATATCCTGACATCCTTTTTGTCCCTGGGAAGCAAATGAAGGTATCATAAAACCAAGATTGGAAACCACCCGAGCGTACAGAACACAGCAGGTTGTGTTCTTAACTGAAAGAGTGAATGGTTCCCCAGCTTAAGAACAGTCTGAGGGGCAGTTGAAGGTCACGGGTAGTCCCAGATGTACTTGATGTGACAGAGGCAGAATTACTGCTCATTTGAGCTGAGATGGACTTAGAATGATTTCCCTTTTGCCCCCAGGTTCTGTGCAGTCAATTCCAAGGGCAGCGAACACGATAACTGCCCAGAAAGGAAACCAGTGCCCGACTTCAGTGTTAAAAAAGGAAATTAAAGCATGTCCCTTGGTGCACACCCTGGGACCATACCATGACCTTATTACAGAATTCATGAAGCGGGAAGTTGATGGCCTCTCCACCATTGTGTCTCACATTTGAAAGTGCATAGACAAGCTGGAGATCTTGTTAAAATGCAGGTTCTGATTCAGCTGATGGAGGGTTTGATTTCTAACTTTCTCCATTTTTCAGTAAGTTCCCAGCTGAACGTTGGTGCTGCTGGCCTGCAGACCACATATTAAATAGCAAGGTTCTTCATCTCTTGAAGACTTGCTTTTCAGATGTCCTTCAGATGTGTTCAGCTAGACATTGTATTTAAAAAATAAGTGCAAGACCTGTACCTTGAAAACTCAAAACACTGCTGAGGGAAATTAAAGATCTGCATAAACGGAGAGAGTCCATTCTTATGAATTGGAAAATTCAATAAGGTTAAAATGTTAATTTTCCGTAGATTGATCTATAGGCTCAGTACGTTCTCATTCAGAATTCCAGCAGGTTTTTTGTAGTTTTGGTTTTTGGTGAAAATTGATAAGATGGCTCTAAAATTTTAATGAAAATGTGAAGGACCTAGAAGAACCAAAATGATTTTGAAGAAGAATGAAACTGGAAGACTCACATTACCTGATTTCAAGACTTACTATAAAGCTCTAGACTTCCTATAAAGACAATGGATTAGATAAAGACAGATCCATGGAACAGAGTCCGGAGATAAACCCACACATGTATGGCCAGTTGCTAAATTGCTTTATGCTAAATGAGAAAAGCCAGGTACAGAAGGTTACATATACTATGATACCATTTAGATAAGATTCTAGAAGAGGTACAACTATAGTGACAGCAGCCCAATGGTTTTGAGGGGACTTGGGATGGGACCTTATTAAATGAAAGGGTTACCATTTACGTATCAGTGAGTAAGTAGACTGCAGTCCCACCTCAAGGCAGTAGAGTGTCTTTCGTATGTGCCTGGGCCTTCATGTCAGGCTGTCTGGATTCCAGAAGCAACTCTGTCACATGGGCAGCAAGCTGTTCACCTCTGTATGCTTTGGTTTCTTCATCTCTGTAAACTAATACAATGCTAGTACTTACCTTGTAGAGTCTTTGTGAGGATCAAGTGAATTAATAGAATTAAGGCACTTACAGCATTTCTTTGAGCATAGTAAGCTATATATAAACTTATTATTAGTCCCCAGTAACCAGATTTGTTGTGACTTTACTTCTCTGTCCTGAAAGTTTGTTCTTTCCTTCACCCTCTCCCTGATCCACAGGGACTTGTGTAACTTGAGGTTTTTAATAGAATGTCAGAGGTGGAATGGATTCTTGGATAGTATCAAAACCAAGTATGGGTGGTGAAACAGAGGTCAAGGAGGTTGTGTGGTGTGTTCAAGGTCATGTCAGTACATAGCCAGTTAAGAACCTGAAGCCTGGCTAAGTGTCTCCTGGTTCAGCCCCCTGGTTTTTATCAAGGCTTATATACCGTGTTTGCATTTTTAAAACCATAGGGATTTATCTCGAACCTGCCATTCATCAATTCCATTGTGTGTGTGTGTGTTTTTCTGCAGAGCAGTACAGAGCCCCAGTTGCAGAAGACTTGTTTTGTCACCACCATGAGCTCTGGTAAGTCATTTATTTATTTATTTATCTGGTAAGTCATTTAAAATCCTGTCTTTCTCTTCTTGACAAGTCTACAAAGCTGGACCATTTGCTCAGAATTCCCACTTACTCTTAAGGCCCTAACTGTGTTTCATTTTTTATTTTTCGAGTCCTGGGTAGGTGCCAAAGCTTTGTCATGAATTGTCATCATCACCTTTATTAGTAATGATTTATTGAGTACCTACTGTATATTAAGAACGACACTCTATGCTTTACATGTACTGTGTTCTCATCTTTATAATGGGTTCCCTTTCCCTCTATTTGACAACTTTATTGATATATAATTGGTATACAATAAACTTCATAGAACCGTTCAACTTCAGCTTCTTCAGCATTACCGGTTGGGGCATAGACTTGGTTTGCTGTGATACTGAATGGTTTGCCTTGGAAACGAACAGAGATCATTCTGTTGTTTTTGAGAATGCACCCAAGAACTGCATTTTGGACTCTTTTGTTGACTATTAGGGTTACTCCATTTCTTCTAAGGGATTCTTACCCACAGTAGTAGATATAATGTTCATCTGAGTTAAATTTGCCCATTTCAGTCCATTTGAGTTCACTGATTCCTAAAATGTTGATGTTCACTTTTGCCATCCCCTGTTTGACCACTTCCAATTTACCTTGATTCGTGGACCTAACATTCCAGGTTCCAATGAAATATTGTTCTATACAGCATCAAACTTTATTTCCATCATCAGTACGGTCCCGTAGAATGGTTCTATGAAGACGTACAAGACCTTCTAAAAGTAACACCCAAAAAAGATGTCCTTTTCATTATAGCGGACTGGAATGCAAAAGTAGGAAATCAAGAGATACCTGGAGTAACAGGGAAGTTTGGCCTTGGAGTACAACAGGAAGCAGGACAAAGGCTAGCAGAGTTTTGCCAAGAGAACGCACTGATCATAGCAAGCATCCTCTTCCAGCAATGCAAGAGAATACTCTATACATGGACATCACCAAATGGTCAATACCAAAATCAGATTGATTATATTCTTTGCAGCCAAAGATGGAGAAGCTCTATACAGTCAGCAAAAGCAAGGTTGGGAGCTGACTCAGGCTCAAATCATGAATTCTTTATTGCAAAATTTAGACTGAAATTGAAGAAGGTAGGGAAAACCACTGGACCATTCAGGTATGACCTAAATCATCCCTTACAGTTATACAGTGGAAGTGACAAATAGATTCAAGGGATTGGATCTGATAGAGTGCCTGAAGAACTACTAACAAAGGTTTGTGATATTGTATAGGAGGCAGTGATCAAGACCATCCCCAAGAAAAAGAAATGCAAAAAGGCAAAATGGTTGTCTGAGGAGGCCTTACAAATAGCTGAGAAAAAAAAGGGAAGCTAAAGGCAAAGGAGAAAAGGAAAGATATACACATTTTAATGCAGAGTTCCAAAGAATAGCAAGGAGAGATGAAAAAGCCTTCCTCAGTGATCAGTGCAAAGAAATAGAGGAAAACAATATAATGGGAAAGACTAGAGATCTCTTCAAGAAAATTAGAGATACCAAGGGAACATTTCATGCAAAGATGGGCTCAATAAAGGACAGAAACATTATGGACCTAACAGAAGCAGAAGATATGAAGAAGAGGTGTCAAGAATACATAGAAGAACTGTACAAAAAAGATCTTCATCACCCAGATAACCTCAATGGTGTGATCACTCACTCAGAGCCTGACATCCTGGAATGCAAAGTCAAGTGGGCCTTAGGAAGCATCACTATGAACGAAGCTGGTGGGGTGATAGAATTCCAGTTGAGCTATTTCAAATCCTGAAAGATGATGCTGTGAAAGTGCTGCACTCAATATGCTGGCAAATCTGGAAAACTCAGCAGTGGCCACAGGACTGGAAAAAGTCAGTTTTCATTCCAATCCCAAAGAAAGGCAGTGCCAGAGAATGTTCAAACTACTGCACAATCACACTCATCTCACACGCTAACAAAGTAATGCTCAAAATTCTCCAAGTCAGGCTTCAACAGTACATGAACTGTGAACTTCGAGATGTTCAAGTTGGATTTAGAAAAGGCAGAGGAACCAGAGATCAAATTGCCAACATCTGTTGAATCATCCAAAAAGCAAGAGAATTCCAGAAAAACATCTACTTCTGCTATATTAGCTACGCCAACGCCTTTGACTATGTGGATCACAACAAACTGTGAAAAATTCTTCAAGAGATGGGAATACCAGACCACCTGATCTGCCTCCTGAGAAATCTGTATGCATGTCAGGAAGCAACAGTTAGAACTGGACATGAAACAACAGACTGGTTCTAAATCAGGAATGGAGTATGTCAAGGCTCTATATTGTCACCCTGCTTATTTAACTTATATGCAGAGTACATCATGCAAAATGGCAGGCTGGATGAAGCACAAGCTGGAATCAAGATTGCTGGGAGAAATAGCAATAACCTCAGATATGCAGATGACACCACCCTATGGCAGAAAGTTAAGAAGAACTGAAGAGCCTCTTGATGAAAATGAAAGAGGAGAGTGAAAAATTTGGCTTAAAACTCAACATTCAGAAAACTAAGATCATGGCATCCAGTCCCATCACTTCATGGGAAACAATGGAAACAGTGACAAACTTTATTTTCTTATGCCCCAGAGTCACTGCAGATGGTGATTGCAGCCATGAAATTAAAAGACACTTGCTCCGTGGAAGAAAAGCTATGACCAACCTAGATAGCATATTAAAAAGCAGAGACATTACTTTGCCAACAAAGGTCCATCTAGTCAAAGCTTTGGTTTTTCTAGTAGTCATGTATGGATGTGTGAGTTGGACAATAAAGAAAGCTAAGCACTGAAGAATCGATGCTTTTGAACTGTGGTGTTGGAGAAGACTCTTGAGAGTCCTTTGGACTGCAAGGAGATCCAACCAGTCAATCCTAGAGGAAATCAGGCCTGAATATTCATTGGAAGGACTGATGCTGAAGCTAAACTCCAATACTTTGGCCACCTGATGCGAAGAACTGATTCCTTAGAAAAGACCTGGATACTGGGAAAGATTGAAGGCAGGAGGAGAAGGGGATGACAGGATGAAATGGTTGAATGGTATCACCGAGTCAATAGACTTGAATTTGAGCAAATTCTGGAAGCTGGTGATGGACAGGGAAACCTGACGTGCTGCAGTCCATGGGGTCACAAAAAGTTGGACACAACTGAGTGACTAAACTGAACTGACAGTAAACTTTTGGGTATTTTAAGTGTGTGTGTTCAGTCACTCAGTCGTGCCCGACTCTTTGTGACCCCATGGACTGCAGCCCACCAGGCTCCTATTTGATCAATGCTGACATGTGTATACACCTTGATGGCATTTCTTAATCTGAGTGACTGTAGCAAAAGTAAACATATTGACCATAATTGCCCCAAGGAATGAGCTAATCCATCACTTCCTTTATCAGGGCAAAACCACCCTTTTGCTATGGTTTTGTTAGTAAAAATCAAAACCTACACATCTGAGCAGTTTTTAATATAAAGTTGGGGTGGAACACCTGGGCTAGGGAAGACAGACGGGAATGGGTAGGTCCCTGCTTGTGGTGCAGCCGAGAGCTGTCAGCTTTCCAGCCAGGATTTGAGGCAGAGAAGTTTCCATCTGGAGATCGAGGCCCACCTTGGCTACTGAGTGTTCCCTGGCACCTCCCGAGGCCTGCAGGCGGGGTGGGCCACAGGATGACCTAGTGGATAGCTCGCTTAGGCGCCTCCAAGCCTGCAGTGTCTCCAGAGTGTTATCAGAGACCTCTGGAGGTGAAAACCAATCCTTGGGTGTATTCACATTCACACGCCCTTTCAGCTGAATCCCAACCCTTGCCGGACAGTGTGGGCTTCTTGGGAGGAGAAGGGCCCCGGGTGGGTCAGCTCAGGGCCACAAGTACCACCCTGCAGGCTTTGGCCGGTGGTGAACCCCTCCGTAAGATGGACATAGGGAAAGCATTGCCTACTGGGGGTTTGTGAGGATTGAGTGAGGTAACGCTTCTGAAGTGCCGAGCTCTGTGCCCAAGGCCTGACCAACGTCCTGTCCGTGGGTCATCAGCCCAGCTTCCAGCCTTGCAAGGAGCAGGACTGGGCTGGTCCTTGACTCCGTGATGCTTCTGCTTCATGAGAAGACTGCGTCCCTTCCTTTCCCCTCCAGAGGGACTAGGGCATTGCCAGTAGCCCCTGCTCGGTAACTCAGTTTTTCTTCTCGTTGGGCTTTTTGTTCTTGCCGTCATTTAAAAGAGGCCAGCGCTTCCCCACAACACCCAGAGTTTCTTGTCCTTCTAATATCAGGATTAGCCTAAACTGGCATCACCATTCCTGGCAGAAATAAAGGCGGAAGAGGCGGGCAGGGAGGGGCCGTGGAAGATGAGGAGATACCCTTGGGACTTCTCCCTGGGTTTTCCCTTAGGCATGGTGCTGAAAGGAGGCATTTCCCAGAAAGAGTCCAAAAAATCTGGACCCTTTGACATGATAACTCCCCTCTTGGGAATGTCTGTATTAATTTGAAGGAAACAAAAACATCACCCATGTGAAGGTGGGGAATGAGCAGGTTCATTCTGTGTGTTTACTTGATGGGAGATTATACCACTCATAAAAATGATCATCAGGAAGAAAGCAGCTATGTAGAAAACACTTGTTCTTTTTTTAAAAAAAAAAATACTTGTTCTTAACCTTTGATGGAAAGAGCAACATGAAGACAATACATTGTTTTTATTCCTAGTTTGAGCTGAGCTGCCAGTCCTCAAGGCAGGGCTTTACCTGCTTGTCTCATTTTGTTCTCCTGCAGATCCACAGAAGTAGGCATGGCTTACCACTCCCATTCTAGAGATGAGGAAACTGAGGCCCTGTGTGGCAGTGATTTGTCTGGGGTCATCTGGCTAGTGGCTGCTGAGGCAACCAACCCCAGGTGGCTGGTCACCAGCACACTCTGCTGCAGAAGTGAGAGTCTGTGGTGATGGAATTGTTTTTCCGAATTTCTTCAAGTTTAGTTGGTTGAGTTTAAGGGAAAACAAAACAGGAAAGGAAGAACATGGGTCTGGGCCTTGCGGAAGCTCTGAGGCTGCTGGCTTGGGGATGCTTGTCCCATTTTGTTCTTTGTCCCACGCCCTGGGGCTACTTCAGCCAGATAGGGAGGCTCAAAGCCGGGCCTGCAGTCCTAAGAAGGAGACCATCAGGAGAAATGAGGGCAGGTGCATAGGGACGGGATTGTTGTTCAGTTACTTAGTCATTTCCGACTCTTTGTGACCCCATGGACTGCAGCATGCCAGACTTCCCTGTCCTTCACCTTCTCCCGGAGCTTGCTCAAATTCATGTCCATTGAGTTGATGATGCCATCCAACCATCTCATCCTCTCTCCCCCTTCTCTTGCCCTCAATCTGTCCCAGCATCAGGGTCTTTCCCAATCATTGGCTTTTAGCATCAGGTGGCCAAAGTGTTGGAGCTTTAGCATCAGTCCTTCCAATGAATATGCAGGGTTGATTTCCTTGAGGATTGACGTGTTTCATCTCCTTGCAGTCCAAGGGACTCTCAGGAGTCTTCTCCAGCAATTTGAAAGCATCAGTTCTTTGGCATTCAACCTTCTTTATGATCCAACTCTCACATCTGTACATGACTGGAAAAACCATAGCTTTGACCATATGGACTTTTGTCGGCGGAGTGATGTCTCTGCTTTTTAACATGCTATCTAGGTTTGTCATAGCTTTTCTTCCAAGGAGCAAGCCATCTTCTAGTTTCATGGTTTCAGTCACTGTCTGCAGTGATTTTTGGAGCCCAAGAAAATATAGTCAGAAAAGATGGGGAGGTAAAACAGATGATATTTCTTTGACTTATATTTCTGGCTTTCTGCCAACAACCTCTTTCCATCCATCCCAGAAATGTAGGTGCAAAGGGAACTTTGTCTGGAGAACTAACCTTCTATAGATGGACTGGGGACAATGAACAGGACGGGCCTGTGGAGCCAGTATCAGATGGTCCTGGCCACTATGGTTGGAGGGGGTGGGGGAGGGCAGCGGCCTTGCTTGCCTCTGGATCCAGGAGTACCCGGGCTGACCTGTCGGTGTAGTTGATGTCACGGAGGTTGATTATTAAGAGCCCAGGTAGGATGACTGGTCTCAGCCAAAGGCACTACTGGGGTTTGGGGCATTTGGGGAAATAGAATATATATAAACCATTATTAGAGTATATCTGATTTGTATTTAGAGAGTATTCTATATATAAAAGCCATTTTTTATTTTAAAAATAAATTTTCATCTCAGCTGGGGACAAAGAATATAAGTCATTGGATGGATCAGAACAGACTTCAAATCCCCTCTTAGTGATCTTCGAGCCTGGCATCCTTTCTGAGCTTTAGATTTCTTATCAATAAAATGAGAGTTCTTAACTCCTAGCTCTAGGGCTTGGATATTAAGGATAAAAATCAGGTGCTAATTATGGAATGAATGCTTAGCAAGGACCCTTAGATCAGGCAAATAGAGGCTTTATAAAACCATGGCTATTATATTTGTGGCTTGGTTGGTTCTTGGCTACTTCCCTGGTGGCTCAGATGGTTAAGAATCTGCCTGCAATGTGGGAGACCCAGGTTCTATCCCTGGGTCAGGAAGATTCCCTGGAGAAGGGAATGGCAACCCATTCCAGTATTCTTGCCTTGAGAGTTCCATGGACAGAAGAACCTGGTGAGCTACAGCCCATGGGGCTGCAAAGAGTCGGACATGACTGAGCGAATAACACTTTTGGCTCTCGGCTGCAGTGGAGTCACCCCAACGTTGCTGATCACGGGTCCTGCCCCCTTGTCTTCTCCGGGCTTCCACCATCAGTTCTGGGATGGGGAACTGGGTGGCACTCAGGCTGCCAGTGGGCAATGAGGGTCTCAGTGTGTTCAGCTGAGTGGAACTTTTGAAAGGTCCCCGCCAAGAACACAGGAGGTACCATTCAAGGTAAACCTCGAGGTACAGAGGACTTCCCCAAGGTAGAAGAGGGGGCACAGGCCTTCTTGGCTGAGGGCCTCTCAAGATCCAAGGCTTGAAGATCAGAAAGCATCTTATTTGCTGAAGAGGTTGTGAGGAGACTGTCATGGCAGGCAGGCGCAGGAGGGGAACTGCTGCTGGAAGAGGGCTAGCACCAGTGGTTGAAGGGCTTAGAGTCTGGGGTGGGTACCCAGGCTGGGTAGCTGCTGGCCACTGGGTCTTGCTTGTCAGCTTGCTTTTAATCATCATGAAGGTCAGTTTGTTAATTTGAATATAACCACTTATGCCATCTCACTTACTTAAAAAATTATATTCCAAACAATCATTTGTACATTTGGAGGAACTTGATTCCAAGTTCAATTTTGTTTTCCTCGTAGAAATGATAATATAAATGATTGACTTCCCAGGGGACTTGCCTGGTGGTCCAGTGGCTAAGACTCCAAGCTCCCAATGCAGGGGGACTGGATTCCATCCCTGGTCGGGAAACTTGATCCCACGTGCCACAACTGAGAGTTCGAATGTCGCAACTGAACATGCTTAGTTGTGTGCCACCACGAAGACCCAGTGCAGCCCGATAAATAAATTAAAAAAAAAAAAAAGATTGACTTCCCAAGTCTAGACTCCAGTAGTATTTTTATTTTCAAATTAGAAGTGGAATGCAGTACATTTAAAGTGGAGGGTCTTAGAAATTCACATTGCTTTGTCCCATCTTGTTTTGTCCTGCACCCCGGGGGTTTTCAGCCCTATGGGGTGTAGATGGTGGAGATGCAGACTGAGGGCTGGGGTGGAGAAAGGGGCAGGATGGAGCCAGGAAGAGCAGTCAGGGAGCCAGGTCATCTCCACAACCAGAACACAAGAGCTGTGGCTGGGGACCGAGGTCTGGGGGCTGGGCCAGCGTGGCTTCCGTGGCTGTAGGTGTGGGGTGGGGTGGAGGGAAGTGTCACAGAGCCTGAGGTTCTATCCTGGCTGTCTGACAGCTCTCAGGATTCACAGGGATGCTTTTGAGCGGCCTTGGAATGGTAGATAAGCCTTTGTCAGGCAGGAGATGCTGCTTTGAGGGAATTAAGATTTTCTTTTTTTAAATGTCAGAATTGAAGCCAAACCAGGAGACCAGAGAATATCACTCATAACACACTTCCCATCCAAACAGCTTTTGCGTCCTCCCTGGTTCAAGCCACAAAGCATTCTCAGAACTCTCCCATGATGCTCTGGGGCCCCTTTTCAGGCCTGAGAGAGCCCCCGGGACCCAGAACTTTGCACCGGCGGGACTCAGAAAGGGTGGGAGATGTGATCACAAGCCTCATGCTCTTATTCTTTCTTTATTTCAGAATGTGACGTGGGTGCTTCCAAAGCCGTGGTGAATGGGTTGGCACCGGGCAGCAATGGGCAAGATAAAGGTAAGACTTTCGAAGGGAAGCTGGCATTTTTAGAAAGAGCAGGGCCCAGGGCCACCTGCCTGGTGAGAACAGTCACTGGTCTAATTAGGCTGTGACCTGGAGACCTGTTCCCAGGCTTTCTGAGACTTGAGTCTGAGGCTGCCTTTTCCCACTGTGAGGTGACGTGTTAAACTGTTCCCAGCTCACAGGATGCTGCGAACCACCCACCAAATCACAGAGACCTCATGTATATGGCATATATCAGCCCGCAGTCTCTCTTACCTGGCATCTCATCTTCACCGGTGATAAATAGTGACATATTCAATGCATCCTGACCCTGAGGCTAGAGCCTAAATAGCTGAAATAAATCATTTTTGTGACATTTGTTTCATGGGCATCCTCCCAGGTTTTGAATTTTTAAAATTTTAGGACAAAAGATGCAAGCGTGAAAGGAATGATGGATAGGATGACCTTTGAGGTCCTGTCTGTCATCCCATCTCTCATCCTGAACAGCCAAGCAGCAGGATTCCCATGTCACTCTGCAGTGAGAGGAGGCAGGGGTTCAAGTCCTGGCCTGCCGCTCATAAACCGACTCCTCTTGGGAGGCCCATTGTCTTTATGGCTGTGAGTTTCCTTATCTAGAAAATGAGGGAATTTGATGATCTGCAGTATTTTTTCCTGCTTGAAACACAGGTTCCAGTGACTGTATCAGTGTTCATCTCATTATGTCTTATGGTATCAGAGAAGGAGGGCAGAAGTCCTGTCATTGGGCTTTTGAGTCACAATGCACCCTCTCTCAGAGTATGTTTACAGTTTGACATGTTTGGACTTTGTAATTACTGTCTGGGTCAGCCACGCATTCCCTTTGAGAGAGGGCAAAGTGGAAAGTCAGAAAGAGCAGCCAAGGGTGAAGGCGTAGAGAATAGGAGGGGTGGGGCGCCAGGGCCTGTTGGTTAGGGCGCCCCTGTACAGAAGGGGTCCTGCTGTCCTGCCCTTTGCCTCCCTGCCTGGCTGCCCTTCTCCTTACCTGGTATGGGGCTATTTTCCCACCTCAGCCAAGTTGCTAAGGGGATGTTGAAGGGTGGTGCCCGCAGGGGAGTGTTTAAGCATCTTCTGAGGAACGTGGGGGAGATGTGGGTGTCTGGTGCTCACCGTCAAGCCCAGCCCTGTGAATCCATTGGGGGACAGGAGACTTCGGGGGTGTACGGCAGGGTGGCAAGTGGAGGCGCGCTCTGCTTACCTCTCTCCTCGATAAGATGCACCTTTGGTTGGAAAATCAAGGCAGATGCACCCTGGAGCCATCAGGGTGGCCTGGGGTGGTCACTGTCGGGCTCTGGTCTCGCTCTCTTCATTCAGCACTGGTTGACTCCGAGCAACAGTCTTGCTTCTTCCTCTGAAAATGGAAACAAAAACCTCCCACCCAGCCTCCCAGGTGGCCTAGGGAGCAGTTGGTAGGATTACTGTGAACGCACATTTGGATCTGAACCCATACAGGATTGTTGTCATCCCTTCAGTTCTTGGCGGCCAGATGACCGCCATGCACCTCGTGAAATGGCAGCCCGGTGGACTGGAAGGTGAACTGCCCTTTCGGGGTACCTCCTTCCTCCCGTCCCCTTGGCAAGCCCGTCAGCATGATATTGATGCAGCTGTGACAGTCTTGGTTCCCAAACAGCCCAACCTGCCCCCCCCACCCCAGTTATGAAGTGGATCTGGGGCCCTGAGACCTCCGGGTGTTGCCCATTGGTGTGATGTTGGTCCATAGCCTGTGAGCGCACATCTCTCTTTATTTGCTGCCATTGGGACAGAAGGAGGTCTCACAAGAAGGCGGGTTTGGGAAGATGCCCACCCTTGTGATTCCAGAACCTGGGGAGGCAGGGGGCCCAGGGAGGTCTGAGCACCTGGATTTGAGGTCCGCAGCCTCCGCCCGTGTACCGGGCAGTACCCCAGCCCAGGGAGCTCAGCTGCTGTCAGTGTCCTGGGCCAGGTGCGTGGGCACTGCCCAGAGTCTTAAGTGTGCATTCGGACACTTGGGCAAACTCTTGTCCAGGAAGGGGGGTGGGTTTAAGTAGACCATCTGCTGCCCAACAGATGGCCATGCTGATTTGCCTGGGGCCAGAGGGCCAGGGTTGTCAGAGCAGGCTCAAGACCCCAGGAGTTAAGATCCTGAAGTAGCAGCTCTGAGGGCCGAAAGGACCAGGCGACTCTCAGACTTGTCCTTCTGCACTCCTCTGGGGCCCATGAGCTGTAACTCTCCTCCGAGGAGCCTTCTCCCAGGGGCCCTGGGGACCCCGCTTGCTCTCCCCTTCCTGTTTGCCAGGCCATCTGCATCTCTCTAAGTCCCCTTGCCCAGAGCCTTGGCAGGTTCCTGGTGTGCCCGGAGGCACAGGCACAGACCAGCTGCATTTGGGGTGCGGTGGCGGGAGGGTGCTGCCCACCTGGGCGCAGGACTCTGAAGAGCGAAAGCGGGTTATTTTAAGTTCCTGCGTCCACTGCTCTTCCCATTGTTCTCTGCGGGCGACTTCCTCCTATTGTCCCTGCCGGGTTCCTCCACTGCCTGAGGGTTTCCCAAATGTTTTTTTTCTGGATGCACCATTTACCCTTTTGTGTTTTCAGCAACTGCCGACCCTTTACGTGCACGCTCTATTTCTGCTGTTAAAATAATCCCTGTGAAGACAGTGAAAAACTCTGCAGGCCTAGTACTCCCTCCAGGTATCTCTCCTTGGGTTGGTTTCTTTCTTTTTTTTTTTTCATTGTTAGCAGACCATGCATGATCTTCTTTCCTTCTAACAAAGACTTGGAGGCTTCATTCTCGCATGTTTAGAAGCCATTCCCTCTCACTTCTCTGGCTGGTTTCCTTCCTTCTGTGTGTGTGTGTGTGTGTGTTTCTGTGAGCCGCGGGCAAATGTGGAAAGGGGCTGACAGGTGCTTTGCCCTTCCCCACTTAGGGAGAAGGTCGGTCCAGAGGCTGAACGTTGACTCCAGCTGGTACAGGTTTGAGCCCCTTAGGCGACTTAGGTTCTTCCTAGAGGTGCCAGCTCCCCAGAATTTATTTAAAACTCCACTGTCCCCAGAAATCAATGTGGCTGCCCAGGGCATTTCTGAATTGGGCTGGATTTGAAGCAGCTGCCTGATCAGGCTGTGTCTCTGGGGTGCTGGTGGGGCCTTTTCCCTGAGCACTACCTCCCCTGCCCCCAGCCCCACCTGCATTCGCTCCCTGCCTCTCCTCTCCATGGGGCCGGTACACTTCGCAGCTGGTACAGTTCGGATGTCAGGTCGTAGCTCGTAGCTTCCTCCTGCACAGAATGGGACAAGTGAGGTGCAGGTGGCTCTGTATCCCAGCGGCGGTGCTTTCAGGAGTTGGGCCCACCTGGCTGTGCACACAGGACCCTGTGGATGGGCTGGCTTTGTCACTGTGCCCCTCACCCTTTTGAAAAGCCCATGAATCACTTTTCCCAGTATTTTCCTGACATCGGTCACTTATCCTGGTAGGATTGGACAAGTCAGATGCTCTTCAAGGCCGCTGCCTGCTCTGCTGGATATGTGTTTTGTGTAAGAGGTGCTGACGGAGCTGATCAATCGGTTTTGTAACTAATGATCGTTCTGTCTGTGCTGTCGGAAAGGGGGCTGCCGAGTGGGAAGGAGGAGCCAAGAAACTTGGTATTTCTGAGCCATGGCACAGGAGTGGGGAGGAGCTGGACATCTGAGCCCACATCCTGCCTGCTGCCCACCTTTAACTTTCCCCACAATCCCACTCATGACAGTTTTAGGCCTGAGATTCAGGCTGTGCCATGAGCAACTTGCAGAACTGGAATTCAGTTCCACTCAGCCTCACGAAGAGAAACATTCTGCACATATGCCTCCCAGGACTGTGTGGTCTGCGTGGCTTTCTTGCTTCCTCCTTACTGATTTTCCTGGAGGGTGAACAGCCTGTTTTGAAACCTATTTTGAAATCTTCAGTGCAGTTCTGAAAGATGACCTGGATCTGCTGTGAGGCCACTGTGAACCGCAGGAGGGGTCAGGGCCCAGGGAAGGCTCTGCTGGAAGTGCCGCAAACACTGTTCCTCGAAGGATTTAGCGTTTCTAGTCGTTTTCTTTGGTGCGAATTTTCTTCATTAAGTTTGGAATGTGAGGTTCCAGGCCTCGTGATCTTTCTCCTCAGGCAGCACATCCTGTTTCACCCCTGCAGGGGGCTTGGCTTGCTGGCACAAAGAGATTGTCTTGCTTTTTCCGCTGAGGGACAGCTCTGAGGAATGATTGTCTGTTGAACCTTCACCGAATGCCCTGTGCTGTTAACTTGCTCTTTTATAAGAAGGATGGTGTGGGAACTTGAGATATCTTTTATAAATTCTTTCTTGACCTGTGCCTTACTAATTGGTCAGAAGTCTGCTCACCAAACTAAACTTCATTTAATAAAAGAAATCAACCTGCTTTGGTTTGGAAATATTCCCAGCTGACATTGTAACACATCCATTGACTCAGAACTCACTGTGCCTCCATTCCCTCCTAACCTCATGACAGGTGGGAAACCCCTGAAAATATGATTTGTCCCTCTCTGCCACCCACAGATTAATTTTCATTGACTGCAAGATTCTACCTGTCTGTAACCAGGTTCATCTCATTCCCCAGGTGGACCAAATTGCTGGCTGATTATGGTTTTACTTCTTCAGGTGCCCTGGATTCAGTCTCCCCTTTTGGATCTTTCCTTTTCAGACATGGATCCTACAAGAATCTGCACCGGGAAGGGAGCGGTGACTCTCCGGGCCTCGTCCTCCTACAGGGAGATCCCAAGCAGTAGCCCTGTGAGCCCCCAGGAGACCCCGAAGCAGGAGAGGAAAACAGGTGCGCTGCTTCGGAGACCCAGGGCTGGGGGTGGGGGGCTGTGGAATCCATCGGCTGCCTCCCAATTCTCCAGGGGCCCCTGAACAGTCTGCTCCTGTCCCTGCTGTGGTGGGTGATGATCACTGCCCTAAATGAACAGGTACTCACTGGCTTCAGGCAAAGGCATGGCAGCGACCACTGTATTCTAGCTTTTGATGGAACCTGTGGGCAGTCTGCAGCTCTGCAGACAGTGTTCAGGAGGACAGAGAAGGTTTAGGGGTCTCGGGAGGGAGTGCTGAGATAGCCTCTAGGTTAGGCTTCTCTGAGCCCATCCCCACTTCTGGGAGCTCAGTGGTGACCATCCAGGTGGGGCTGGGGCGGAATCCCAGGGAGACTGAGAAGTGCAGGTGGCTGTCTGGCCTCATCAGCTCCCAAGAAGACAGGGAGGTGCCCTGGGGCAGCAGGTCTGCAGAGCATGTCTAAGGCCAGTGCAGACTAGGAACCGAGGGAGGAGACAAAGGAAGCCCCCCTCCCCGTCCCATCCCATCACTCAGGAAACCCGGGTGCCTAGAGCTCCACATTGTGGTGGAGACCTGGGACTTTGGATTGATTATTATTTTTAAGAAACAGTAGACACAAGTGCGTGCATGCCAAGTCGCTTCAGTCGAGTCTGGCTCTTTGCGACCCCATGGACTGTAGCCCACCAGGCTCCTCTGTCCATGGGATTCTCCAGACAAGAATACTGGAGTGGGTTGCCGTGCCCTCCTCCAGGAGCTCTTCCCAACCCAGGGATCAAACCCAGGTCTCCTGCATTGCAGGCAGATTCTTTACCATCTGAGCCACTGCCCAGACCTGGGAGTTTGGAACCTCATAAATGGGATTCATGACCTGCCTCCACCACCTGTTGGCTATTCAGCCATGGATGAGATAGGTGGTCTCTCTTAACCTTGATGAACCCATCTGAAAAATGGGGTTGAGAACTATACCTGCCTCCCAGCATCGTTGTGAGGATGAAGTGTGCAAAGCGTTTCGTGCCACATCTGGTGGTGTGAGATGAGCTGGCAGACCTTAACCTGCTCTTGAAAGTGAAAGTGACAGTGCTCAGTCATGTCCGACTCTTCACGACCCCATGGACTGTAGCCTACCAGGCTCCTCTGTCCATGGGATTCTCCAGGCAAGAATACTGGAGTGGGTTGCCATTTCCTTCTCCAGGGGATCTTCCTGACTCAGGGATCGAAGCCGGGTCTCCTGCACTGCAGGCAGACGCTTTAACCTCTGAGCCACCGGGGAAGACTTAACCTGTTCTTAGCAGGTTATAATTATTTGGGCCTCTCTGGGGAGCCCTTTCTGCAGCCCAAGTGTTTCTGGGAGCTGGGAAAGGCTGACTTTTGAGGTTCCCCAGGCACTGTTTCCTTAGGCTGGGGCGGCCCCTTTCCACTGAAGGGCAGTGTTTCTCACACTTCAGCTGATTGTGTCAAAATCACCTTGAGTAGAGACGCAAGTTCCCAGACCCTAGCTCAGAGCGTTAGGCTTTATGATTCCCACCTGTAGGCCTGAGGTGGGGTCCAAGATTTTGCCTTCAGGTCATGCTGATGCTGCCCGTCCCAGGACCACATCTGAGAACTCTCACTATAGGGGATGGGTGTTTTCTCCCGTCTTGAAGGAAGGAAATGCAGAGAGAAAATGAATTGGGGTGATGACCACTTCCTTGGGGCCAGAGTTGTGCAGACTCTCTTGGTACGGTGGGGAATGATGTGCTGTGATAGATGGAATTATATAGGATGGAGATGATCAGTACCCAGCATCCTGGAAACCTGACTTTCTGTCCATCCCAGTCAGTGGAACAGGTACCAAAGCAGATGCCCAAGGACAAGTCCAGGCTGGAGTTTGAGTACAAGCCCTATTCTGGTGTGTTTGTCCCTATGGAAAGCTGCCTTATCCCTAGGCTCAGGGGAAGGTGTAAGTGGTCTCCAGCACTGTAGGCTGACAGTAGCTTCTTGACTCTGTATTCCTGAACCTAACTTTTGCCCCACTACAGCTTGCCATTCTGCTCTCAGGAAAGGTGGTGACGTTGGGAAGATCCAGCTCCCAAGCTGGAGGACCTCTGGGGAAGAGAGAACCCTAAGGGATAATTTAAAGAGAAAGAACATACCTGCAGCTCTATGTTCTGATAAAATAACCATCAACTGCCTGGCCCTTCCTCTTGTGGTGAATGGGAAGAGAAGGGGCCTTGAGCTCCCCCTGGTGGTCACAATATGGCACAACAGAGCCCCAATGTTACTTTGCCTTGCCATCTGTAGGCTCGCACTCCAGTGCTGTGCGGTGGTTTGGGCACTTTAGGAAACTGTCTCTAGTCCCCAGATAATTCTATATCTTGCCGATTTGTAACAGCTAATTTGAATTTTAAAGGATCTTGTTTTAAAATGGAAATACCTTGAAGGATTAGGGGATGGCTACCCATCATTCACGTGAAAGTGAAGATGTTAGTCACTCAGTCATGTCTGACTCTGCGACCCCATGAAATTCTTCGTGCAAGAATACTAGAATGGGTAGCCATTCCCTTTTCCAGGGTAGCTTCCAAACCCAGGGATCAAATTCAGTTCTCCTGCATTGCAGGCAGATTCTTTACTATCTGAGCCACCAGGTCTCCCACATTGCAGGAGGATTGTTTACAGCTGAGCCATCAAGGAAGCCCAAGAGTCCTGGAGTGGGTAGCCTATCCCTTCTCCAGCAGATCTTCCTGACCCAGAAATCAAACTGGGGTCTCCTGCATTGCAGGCCTATTCTTTACCAACTGAGCTGTCAGGAAAGCCACATCTTACACTAAATTTAATCTTTGTAGATTATCTTCTGCCAGATAACAGAGATTGTTAAATCCAAATCAACAAACATTCATTCTGCAGCATATAGGAGCTAGACATCACTGTGGTTCACCAGGAATTGTGATGAGAAGGGGAGAAAAGGGAAAAAATTTTAGGTGCATTATGCAAGCACAAAAAGCAGTTTATTCCAGGAGAATCAGGTGTGGGCCCCTACTTCACTGTTTTCTGACCATGCATAATGTCATACTTTTGAAACATGAATGAAGGGTGAAGGGCTTGGGTCCATGGTTTCTAAGCCTTTCTAGTTCCAAAATATTTTGTAAATTTAGAAAGTTTGGAAATTAAACTGATACAAACAGAGTCTTCTTCACTGGAGACAAATTCAGGGTTGTTATACAAGGCCAGTTTGGGTGGAAAGGAAAAAGCTGGGGTTGAGTGGGAGGCTGGGGAAATACACTGATTAGGTGTCCAACAGGCTGGAATGAGTTAGCACTGGAAGTGAGTTTAAAAGAGGATGCAGCTCCAGTGGGACTTTAAGGACTGGAGGGACATTCTTGTTCTCTTATCCTTTGGGTCCTTGGTCATCATCCTGCTCTCTCTTGACTCTGCTGGGTGTGTGTGGCTCTTCAGCCCTACTCACCCCTGCCTACTCCCTTCACCTGAGCCTCTGGATGACAATTTGCTGGCCACACCAAGCCACTGGGCCTTGACTCAGCTCATGAAAACAGTTCTCAGCAGTACTTGCAGGCAGCCTTGCCAGCCTGGACTGGGAGCCCAAGCATGAGGCAGGATGCCTTGCCTGGCTCTTGCTAAGGATCAGGTGTGCTTCCTGATCCTGGTGTCTTCACAGATAGCACGTGTCAGATACCAGCTGCTCCACCTGCATCACCAGGGCCAGCATCTGTGCCCCAGCCTCTCGGTCTGTTCCTCTCTGCCTTGCTCCTTTGCTTTACCACCTTCTTCCATCCCTGCCAGTCTCCAAGTTGTTGATCACTTGCCTGGATTAGAAGCTTTGTTCTCACATTACTGCCCCATACCTGTGGCCTGATTTCCTTCTCTATATGGCCCCTTGACACCCACGTTTCAGGGATGTCCCCTATTCCCTGTCCTTGCTCCAGCTCCCTCGCCCTGTGAGAGGTGGTCTGCTTCTCAAATCACACAGTCCTCTCTCAAGGCTCAGCTCTGCCACTGACTAATTAACCTTGGGGAGCTTCAGTTTCCCATCTGTAAAGTGGAGATGTTCTTCACCGGGTTGTTGGGATTCCGCGACTCGACCGTATCAGGACGTAGCCCAGAGCCAGGCATTCACAAGGTGCTCTTGGATGGGAGCCAGTCTAGTTACTGCAAATCAGGAGGCCACTGCAGAAAGACCTACAGTAATTCCTGTGAGAGACTCTGAGGGTCTAGACCCAGTGTGGTGATGGGGGGCGGGCGGGGGGAGGAAGAGGAGGGGCCAAGCAAGGCGTGTGTTTGGAAGAGTGGAGTGGCAGGGTTGGCGCAGTGTCTCAGGAGTGTGGAGAGGTAGGACTCCGTGCTGAGCAGGAGGCGCCTTCCCTGGTTGACTAGAATCAACGTGGCACTCATGGAGATGCTGGATATACGAGGGGAATCGGAAGGAATGTTGAATTCCGTTCCTTGATGTACTGAGTTTCTTGGCAAGAGAAGGACTTCTAGGAGGAAGTTTCTAATAGGCATTTGGAAATTTGGAATCCAAGTTGCGGACTTGGGAGCCATCGGCATCCATGTGAACACTGGGAGGGTGGAGATGCTCTCTCTCTTAAACTGGAGTTGCCCAGTTTAAGCTCAGCCTCCATGTATGAGGCCCTCAGTTCTGTTCCTGATGCTTCCACCAAAAAAAAACAAACCCCAAAACCAAACAAACAAAAAACTCAGCCTCCAGACTCCCGCCTTCCATGGTAGCTTGACTGGATCCTTGACCACCCTCCTAGTCTTTGAATGTAGACCTTAGTTTTGGATTGGAACCATCTGGAAAGAACTATAGTAATCTTAATGCTGATTCCCTGCCTCCGAGAGAAACTGCTTCTTCCTGCTTGCTGGTGTGATATCCTGGCTGGGTTTGGGTAATGGCCCTGTTGGTTCAGATGTGGTTCCACCTGTGTCCCCAGGTCAGGGTGGTTTTACTCAAGAGGAGATGGGGAGCCTGAACAGGTGGTGGGCGTGATACCAGTCTTCCTGTCT